TTAATAAGCAAATATAATACCAATTAAATGTTAATTAAATACCGTATAATATTATAGAATTTCTGTATAATAATGTTAGTATAATAATTATTTGTTTGACAATAATGATGAAAAGTTAGATAATAATGAATAATATAACATTATACGAATATAAGTGTTATAAATTTATATTATTGCTTTTGTTTTTTAAACAATTAAGATTTAATTAATTAAAAATGTCAACTATTTGTCAACTATTATTATTATTATGTAATTTTGTTGAACTGATTAAATTTAAAAAAAAATATATTTTTGGCACTAAATTTTAACAATATGTATATGTTTTAGATTATCAATGTTCTATGTATTTTTTAAAAGAAAAAATCTGTTATACATTTTAATAAAATAGAAAAATTAAACATAATAGAGAAATAAAAATTCAATTATAACTAAATTAAATGTATTTATGTTTATAAATTATATTTTAAAGCTTATATTTATTTAGAATATATTATTATATGGAAATTAGGAAATATTGTGGAATGTTTACGCGTGAAAATTATTAACATACTATTTATTGCTAAAAATATAATATGCATGTGCTTGCAAATGACGTCAATTAATGCTGTTATATATTTATGTATATATATAATTTTATTATTTTGGTTTTTGTCTCGTTTAACAAATTGTAATTATATTTATTGGCATTATATATTAATTAATTTTTTCCAAGAAATTACGAGTAGTAATTAAATGTAGTATAATAAAAATTTTTAATAAATCATTAGTTAAGATGAAATTTGTGGTTAATCCGTATTTTTATATTTTTTAGAATATTAAGTATATTTTATAGAATATTTTAAATTATTTCACTATTTAAATACAAAAATATTACAATTTTTTGTTAATTTAACAGAATTCTGTCAATTTCTGTTAAAATATTAGAATTTCAATTTGGTTCTGTTTTGGAAAATTTAACAATTTTTGTTATAATTTATAATTTTGTATTAAATTTAATTAAAAATCAAGAAAGGTTAAATTTTTTTAATTAAAATAAATTGCTCTTGAAATGATTAATTTAATATTAATTTTTTATAAATAATATATTACATGTTTTTATATTATATTAGTTCCTATTAATATTAAATGTTATGTTATATATATAATTTAATTATATTAAAATTGTTCTAATTATATTAATAAAACTTTAAACTATAATATAATATTAAATTTTTTAGTCAAAAAAAAAAGTTAAATGAATAATTTTTTATAATATCAATTTATTATAATGGGAATTTTATGTAAAATAATTTAGCAATATTATTATTTAATTGTAATAAATTTTCAATTGCATCAATTTGCAAGTGCTCTAATAACTTATTGTTTTTATATAACTATCCTAAAACATTTGTAAAGAAATTAAAAAAAAATATTGAATTCTCTTAAATAGAGCAACTTATTCAGTGTATTGTTTTAATTTTGAAAAAAAATATTTTATTTTATAAATAGATTAAATTTAATTTTTCGTTTCGTTTTTTAAGTTTATCGGCAATGCGTTTTTAAGTTTATCGGCAGTCTAAAATTTTCTCTATTCCATAAGTATCCTACTACGTGCAGTGTAAAATGTGCTTCTGCATTTTGATAATATTCCCATTTTCAACTTAAATATTAATAAAAGCGTATTATAATAAGGTATTAATAAAAGCGTAGAATAAGGTATATAATTCTTCTTCTTACAGTCATCCATTTTGAATAACATATCAAAGCATACTAATATGCGCCCTTATATCACATTTGATTACAATTCACACTGCTCTGTTCTGCAATATTTGTATAGTCTGTCAAATTTAGTGTTGATGCTTTGGTGCTTAACAATTAAGAATTGATGCAGAATAGTTAAAATGTTGTAATATGTATTAACGATGTATATATATTTATTGCATATTTCTTAGTTAATGTTTGCCTTATATTCCTGCAAAAAACGATTTTAATTATTTTAACATTTTTTATTTAAAATAATGTACTTAAAATAAATTATATATAATATATGTATACTTTATTAAATATTTCTAAACCTAACTTAAATTGATATATTTAACATTTTTCTTTTCTTTTCTATAGAAATTTTATATAGAAAGTATGCACACATGTTATTATTTAGAATTAATACATATACGTGTATACGATAATATCAATTTATAGTATAGATCAATTAATAGATATTATCTATATGTAGAGGTACTTGATTTAATTATGCGATAAAGCTTCTTTAATTACAAAAAAAAAAAATAAAAACAAAATCACTGTAATTTTTTCCTTAAGGTCAAAATTTTCTTTATGCCACCACATACATATATAGATCTACTGCAACCATAGTGTTGTGCTTGCTTGAAAGCTTTTGCATTAAACTGTAAGAAATACTTAGTAATAATAAAAAATCATGCGCTTTAATAATAACGCACTTAAACAGGTAAACAAGTCATTTAAAATTGTAGTGTATTTATTGTGGTGTAGCAATAATTTCTCATTTTTTAAAGAAAATAATAAAATAGTAAAAGCAATCTATATAATAAAATTAATTACTACACAACACACTACATATTATTATGTACATTTACATATATAAAAAATATCATAAATAACTTCAATTGATTAACAATGCTATACACGTACATACATATATATGAAATTAAAATATGTGTTTCAACATTTATTTTTTTTTCCTTAAGTTAATCAAAAAATAAAAACAAAAAAAATATCAAAAAATGAGAAAGAATGTGTTTACACATTTTTCTTTTTTTTTTGCATAGTAGAAATTCAGAATATTATGGTGCAATATTATAAATAGTATAGTTTTAATTACATACATACATATACATTTTATTTATAATATCAGTAATTTAAATCTATATACAGGTATAATAATTGTTTATTGACAACAAAATAGTTGAATATTACGTTTATTTTTATTTTAGAAAGAAAAAAAAATTTAGTAAGCTATTATGCTAAATAAGTAGATCTTCAAGTTTTTCTTATAAATGAAAGTTGGTTAAATTATATAAAAATAATTCTTTATATAGGCCTGAGTATATGGTCGGCATATGTTTATTATTTTTTTTTAATATATAATCTAAGTTAACGTTAAGTAAATAAAATTTTTCAATATCATATTGATTACTTAATATTGTATAATAGATTTTCTTATAGAGTTTGTGACCATATAATTTATATTTCTAATCATAATTACATAATATATGCTCCATGAATATGGCTTTCTTATAATTATATGAAATGTTTACAAATTTTTTATGTTGTTTTCGCTTTGAATTGCATATTGTTCAATACTTATAAAAATGAAAACAGTTTGTTAATGTGTTTGTTTGTTTTTGATATTGTATAGATTTAAAGATACATTATTAATTGTAAAATTAAGAAATTTATTTTTGATTTATGTTTAAATATGTAACAATAAAGGCTTTAAATCCTTCAAAGATTTCGTGACATCCATTTTACAAATACTTCATAAAACTATAGTAACAAGACCGTTTTATAAGCATTACTTGCAAGTGCTTTATTTATGAAAACTTTAATTAATTTACCAAAATGTGTGCCACGGTTGCTTGTATTTATTTCATTTATATAAGTATATATGTACACATATATGTATAAATGAAATAAATACAAGTATTCTTACACTTTTTATAATTCTATATTATCTAGCTTATTGAGTACATTCTTAAAAATTAGAATTTCAGAAAAATTTTATAAAAAATTACAGCTTTTTTAATTGTTTTTGAAAATTATTATAACATTGTCTAAATTTTAAAATACTAAAATCACGTAAACAATTTTCTTTTGATTCAAAAGGAATATTAAAATTAACTTAAGACCTATATGTATTATTCGCAACAAAGAATGATGAATTTAACAACAAACCAAATATGTATAACAGTATTAAAATGTAAAAAATACAAAAAAATACAAGCATAAATGAAAATTACTTATACAAATACAATACATAACATTGATCAAACATTCGAACATTCTATTTTTTGCATGATATAATATCGTAAGAAAATATTCACAAACAACAGTACAGTTGCAATAAAACTTGTTGTAACAACAAACTTTTCATTTAAACTTAAAAATATTTTTCTTATAGTTTTATACTATTGTATTTATGATAATGCATATGTATTAGTAAAAAAAAAAAACAGAAATACAAAAAAAAAAACAGTTAAAATTGCGAGTACACTTTTTATGTTTTTCAATTCAAAATAAAAAAAAAAAACAAAAACAACGAATAAATGTGTGTGTATGTAATTTAAAAAAGTATCATTAAAAAATGAAGAAAAAATAAATAAAGAATAAAAAATAAAAACTATACTTTTACACATATAGATGGAAGAAATGAATAAGAAAATGTGAAAAAAGAGAAAAATAATTAAAAAAAATGTAAAAGTAAAAATAAAAAAGCAAGAAAATAGAAAAAATACAAATATAATTTTTTATCGTAGTTAAAAAATAACTTGACAATTTAACAGACCATTGGCCACTCGTGAATTTTTTCTTTTTTTTTTTTGTATTTAATTTAAAGCCTTTAATTTTTTTTATTATATTTTTGGAATTTACTTATTTATATGAGTGACTTGAGATAAAAATTTCTCACTCATAACTGAACATCACTTACGATCGGAACACAAGAAAAATAAATAAAGAAATTACGGTTAAAATTTAAAAATTTTAAATAAAATTAATTTAGAAAAGGAAGTTTAATTAAAAAATAAAAAATAAAAATATTAATTGTTAAATTTAATTTATAAAATTTTGAGTTAATTAAATATTAAATATAGAAAAATAAATAAATTAAATGAAAAAAAAAAATATATATTAAAATTATTTTTTGAAATAATTTAAAAAATATAAAGAAAAGAAAAATTAATGAAAATTAAATTAAACTAAAAAATATTTAAAAAAAACAACAATATTTTTGTCAAGTTATTAAATGTGGTGGTGTTAAAGTTAAATTTCAAATTATATTTTTTGCAATATTAATTAATAAAATTAAAAAATACAACTGTTATAATTAAAATAATTTTATGAATTTTTAATTTAAATTGTGTATTTATTAATTATAACAAAATTAAAAGTGTTCATTTTCAATAAAATTTATAAATACTTAAAAATAAGTTTTTCTTAAAATAAAAGAAATTTTTAATATAGAGAACAAAATATATATAGAAAATGAAAGATTTTAAAAAATTTTTTGCACAACAATATAGTGCTGTTAATACAAAAGATGAATTAAATGGTCCAGAATTAAATAAAGTATATAGAATGAATTTAAAATCAAATAAAAAATATAAAAATAGTATTAATGTTGTTGATTCATTTTTTAATAAAAGAAAACCAGGAAAAACAACTAGATCGCCAAAATGTAAGTGATATATAAGCAGAAAATAGATAATATTATATTTATTTAAATTATTGTAAATTATAATACATATAGGAAAATAAAGTAATCAATAAAAATACAAAATTTTCCGAATTTCAAGACCATAAATGTTATTAAGAAATTTTGATTAAGACCAAAGCAAAAAATGATCATTAGTAGGAAATGTAAATTTCAAACAAAAAATTAAGAAAAATATAAGTTGTGAAGGCAAAACGAATTAAATTAAATACGTATAATATGAAATTAAAATAAATTAAGTAAATATTAAGAAATATTTTTAAATAATCAAAAAGTGTAAGAACTATTACAATTATTGAAAATCAAGAATTATTTACACTTAATATTCTACAATTATATGGAATGTGGTAAACAAAAAAATTTTTAAATTCCAAAATTTTCAATATTTATAAATTTATTAATGAATATTTTAATTATACACATATGTGCATAAATGCATAAAATTTTATAATTATTATTTATATATACAGACATGTATGTATGATTTTCAAAGTATACGATTTGGGATTAAGCGTATTTATATGATTAAAGCGTGTGTTTGCTGTTGTGCGTGTGTTATTTTCAAAATTATTAGTATCACGAATTTATGCACTCGCTTGTGTATAAAAATTATTTAATTTTTATACCTTATATACATATATATGTATACACATGAATAAAAAAAAATGAAAAAATTGAAAAATATAAAAAAATTAATTGGTTGTTGTGAAAAATTGTAAACAATAATAGAAATAACACAAGATACGCTCATATATGCTTAATTCCAACACAAGGAATATATGTACGTATCATTATATGCTTAAATTCGTACTCTAATATGTCTATATACACAAGCTTCTTTTTGAAATTTTTGGCGCACTCGAATAATAATTTAATTAAATCTATTTTGTTTTTAAAAAAATTTTTAACATAAATAGGATTTTCTTACGCATATACGACTTTTATAATTAAAATATTAATAGTACAATATTATATTTGATAAGTGTGAATTAAAGGATAATTAATTACTTATATAAATATTTTATGTTTTATGTTTGAATTTATGAAAATTTGATATTTTGATTTATAGAAATATAAAAACAAAATAATGTGATACAAAAAAAAAAAAATTATTTAAAATATTAATTAAATTTTGAGTATTTGAATTTGTTGAGCATTAAAATTTATGATTCGTTTTTTGAAATTTTTGGAACAATCAAAATTTATTTTTAAATTAATACAATATTAGTATGATTGAACGATTACAACAGATTTTAAATCAAATTTGAAATATATTCAAACATTATTATAAATATATTAGAAATGCTTATATTTTATATATATCAAATATATATATATATATACAAAAAAGAACCTGTTTACAAGAAATTATACCTGTTATATAAGTTTTAATTACGTTATTTTAAAGTAAAAGTAGAAAAAAAATTATAATCTATACATATATACGGACTACCTTCATATACATAATATGCAAAAAAATTATTATTCCATGTACAAGTTTATATACACAAACAGATAATACATAATAGTTATCGATTTTCAAGGTAATATTTTCGATGCATTATGTATGTATATACATTAATAACGTAGAATTTATTATATAAATTAGTTAATAAATAACATAGAATAAAATACTGTTAGTAAAAGTCTTTTTTTTTTCGTAATATAATGCTTTAAAGTAGATTATCTATGTATATAAAAATTATATACCAGACAAACTCTTAATAAAATATTACAAAAAAATGCTTAATCATTGTATTAATTCAAGAATTTATAATGAGTTCTTTGAATTTATATATAAAAGTACGTCAATTACAATCTATAATATGTATGTATTCACAAATAAATATCATATACATATTATAGTTTCTATAAATTAAATATTTTATTATTTTTAAATTTCTATTTTTATATAATACATACAGCATATTTATCACATATATATTTTTAATTAAAATTTTTAATTACATATGTAGGTATGAAAAAGAGGTAGCAAATAATACAAGTTACTTGAGAATTATTAATTATTAAGTAACTATCAAAGAATTAATGTTCACATATGTATACGTATAAATATATTGATACAGAATAAATTTAGTTTAATAATCGGAACTTAAGTATATACATATACATATATAAAAAAATAGAAAAAATAATAAATGATTTTTAAACTTATACAATTAAAAATAAATTAAAAGTGTATAATAGTTTAATAGATAGGAGGTTGAATGAACTGCTCCACAAGCTTAAATTATAAATTGCATTCTATACTAAGCATATATAAAGGAAAAATACGAAATAAAGTATTATTGTATTAATTCTTAATATTTATTCATTTTATTCTCTATTATTTTTATTTAATTTTTTCAAAATTAATGTAATACTCATTACTTAGATGCTTTAATTCAATATTTCTAATTTTTTTCTTCTAAAATTATAAATTAATCATTTTTATTTTTATAATCATAGTTGACTTTAAATTAACATTTAAAAATAATACAGTTAATGTAAAATTATTTTTGCTTTATTCTAAGGAAGCTTAAAAAAATATTTCCAACTATGAGAATAATACTGGAAAACTTCCATTCCATCAAAATACAATTAAGTATTCACCACTTGTTTTTTTTTTTTACCGTTTCTATAATGCATTTTCCATTTAAGGTAAACCTAAAAAATACCAAAAATGAAAATAAAAAATTAATTGGTTATAATTAATTAATTAATATATTAATTTATAAATAAAAAAATAAGAGTAATAATAATAATAATTCTCAAAAAAAAAATAACAAGAAATAAATTTGCATTTTCAAAAAATTAATTAAAAAATCGCAATAAAAACTATTTATTTAATTTATTTATTTATTTTTTCAAATAATTTCCTGTAATTTAATGAAAAAAAAATTTGAAACATAATATTAATTTTGAATTTTTGTGTATTTGTTTTTATGTATTGTTTATATGTATGCTAATTATGTATATATATATATATTTAATATTATATAACAATAAATATTAAAATTTATTTAAAAATAATTTTCTAATAATAGAAAAACGAAAAACAAAATAAAATATGTTCGTAATATCTCCGCTCTACCCATTCATTCTTAAGTATTTTAACTTTTTACATAAGGTTGTATTTATATACATATGTACCGTACTTACTGATTTTCATATTATAAACATACAAAAATTTGTTTTTAGGAAGACCTTCCGACTAAAAATTTGTTTTTTTTGCTTTTATTATTAATTCTTCAAATACATACAAACAAAACTCTTGTTTATTATAATTCTTTTTCTATTTGAATATTTTGATTTCTTTTTCTTCTTTTAATTACAAACTAATTTTTTGATTTTAATAAACATTTGATCAGATCCAGTTAATTGAATTTTTAAAATTTGTATATACATACATATACATACATGCAATTCATGGTTAAATAAAACATTAAGCTTATATAACAAAAATTATACAAGATTCAAGAGAAGAACCAATACAAAAAAAAAAACAAAAAATAGTTATTCACAATTTTTTTTTCTTTTAATTTTTCATCTTTCAATATTTTTTCTTTTTTATTGTTTATTATGTTTTCATTTTTTGTTTTTTTTTTGTGTATAAGATGAAGACCATGGAAGGTAATCAAGGTATTATTGAAAACAAAAAAATATATAAAATGAGAAATCAAAATTCAAAAATAAATAAACAAAAAATAAGCGAAAAATAAAATTCAATAATGGTTATGTTTGATAGAAAAAAAAACCCAAACAGAAAAATGTTCGAATCGAAATTTCGAGAATATTTTAAAATTAGGGCAGTAAAAGTAAATGTTTTTTTTTTGTTATATAATAAATATTATAATATTATGTAAATGTTATACAATATAATAATATTTTAATTTATACAAGAAATAATACGTAGCTATGTATGTATATATGTATTTATATATAAAAAACATAAATTTGTAAAAGTTTTTTGTTTCTTGTTTTTAACGCTATCAATTGCTTTCATACGCAAATACATATACATACATACATTTATACTGTTAATTTAATGCATTGTTTGGCAAAGTTTTTGAATTTGAAATTTGTTTTTAATTTATGAATATTAATATGGCATTTATACAGATATATACATACTTATATAATAAACAAAATATACATGTAACTATTAACGTATGCAAGTGCTAATATCAGTAAAATATTCTATTTTCGTATATATAGTTTTTCTTTATATTGTTTATTGTCAATCAACCGGCTTTTATATGCTTAGTTATAAAAATTTAATACAATATTTTTATCATTTGACTGTTTAATAATATAAAAGTTGACTAAACTATTTAAGTATACCAATTTTTATTGTTTTGCTATATTATATATAATTTTATTATATAATAAATAATTTATATTTGTGTATAGAGTATAGGTTCATTATAATTTTTTAACATTGAAAATAAAATTGAAAGAAATATAAATATACAAAAAAATGATGTTACTTGATATAATTGAAGTTTGATATATGTATTATAGTTTTTAACTTGGTTTATATTTATATAAATATATGTATATTATGTATATAATGTACGTATACGTACATATGAAATGTTAACATATTATGATGGTCATGAAAAAAAATTTTTAAAGTAATTATTTGTATCGTAGTACCTTGACAGTGAAAAATTATTATAATAAAAAAATAATATTAAATTCAGTACAATAAAATTAACAAGCATAACTGCTATAAATATTCTTATATGTTGGTAACACTTATTAAACTAAGTTCCTTAAATTATATACACAGTGATTTTTAACGTAAAATGATATTAAATAACGTTAAAAATTTGCTACATATAACGGTATAAAATTAAAAAATAACGGTATAATGCTATTTTTTTACTACCAATATTTTTTTCAAATAAAATCAAATAAAATTAATGTTAATTTACTATTAATATATTAATTTTTATAAT